CTATTTTAATTAAACAAATCTTGTAAATAAATATGCTTTTTATAAAAATTTTTACTATTAGGTACTCTTAAGTGTACTGTAATACCTATCTCTTCTTTATATACATATAAAATAAAATTAAAAAAAATAAAATAATAAATTTTTTTAAAAAAAATTATATTAATAAACCCAATTTGAGTTATTAAGTTTATTTGAACCTATAAAGATTATATTAAGTCTATTTAAACCCATGTGGTTTATTTAAATATATGTAAGTCTATTTGAATTTATAATGGGTTTATTTAACTTATGCTAGGCTATTTAAATCTAAGTTGACTAAAACAGATTTATTTAAATCTAAATATCTAAAATCCTGGGCCTAAGAGCTAATATATTTGAGACCTAAGAATTAGAAAAAAACTAAAAACTAGAACCCAAGCAACGCTGGGTTCTACATGCTAGTCAAATTTTAAGACAGATGTAACATGAAATCAAAACAAAAACAAAGAAATCATTAATAACTCAAAATTTTGACTATGAAACCATCTTTTATATTCTAACAAAAAAAATTTTTTGCTAAATTTTGATATAAACAATGCTTCTTTCTATTTCTAGCCTTATCTTAACCCTAACCTTAACCCTAACCTAATTGCAAAGTTTGTTTTTATAAAAAAAAATTGGTTTAATAATTATGTTACACCTGATCTTAATTGCGGTTACGGTTACAAATCAATTAATATTTTGATAAAACAATTTAGTTGAGATTTAGATTAATAGTTAAATTTTAGATTAAACTATATAACAATTTAATAAAAAAATTTTTTTTTATATAAATTTTGCAAATTGTAATAATACTGTAATCAATAAAGAAAATCGATGTAGATTGTGTAATCGGCTATATATAAATTTTTAAAAAAATAATAGTATTAACAAATTTAATTTTTTTACATATACTGTATATATTAGATACTGTATACTGTATAGTATATACTGTATATTATTATAAAAATTATATTGAATTATAATATTGAATTATAATTGATTGTTAGCCTTTTTTCTTCCCAAGAATTGGGTAAGAAGAAAATATTTCTATAGCAGCTACTGTAGATATGTAGTTAGGTTAAAAAAATTTATATACAAATATATATTATTTTTATAGCCATCTTAGTAACACAAATAAAAATAGAATATCTATGAATGTACATACGTACACACGATTTCCGACTTTTGTGCATACAGAGCATACAGAAACTTGATTTGCTTCATAATACCTTTGTCGGAAATCTTTAACCGTTTTAATATCAAGTATTTTAATTTAATGTTTTAGGTTACAGAAATTTCGTCATCATTATCTGTTATAATATATATACTTTAATATACATATATAGCGATAGCATTGTAACTTGTATATAGTATTTACTCAATCGTTTTCTTCGAAATTACGTTTTACAAAACTAACTCTTTACTCAACCTGATATTAGTCTTTCTTTTTTTATTTATTGTAGAACATTTTCTAATTAAATAATACAAATAGAAAAAAAACTATAATATAAAAATTATAGTTTTATACCGTTTATTGTCATTCTTTATTATCTATAGACAAGTGTAGTAATGTCTTCTCTTCCTAAACCTACTAATGTAAATGGCGTCAAGGCTGACCCTAAGTTTTTGAGGTAAATCTTAATTTTGTTGGAAATAATACTCAAAATATATAACCTCTTTTACTCTTTAATAGAGATCCTTCTGCATTGGAATCTATTTCGTCAGCTATATATGAGTTATCTTCTTACGTAGCTTATTCTCTTCCGACTTCACTTGCGTCGTTACGTAAGAATCCTACAAATCCTACAAATGACTATCAATCGTCGATAAATTATCATAAAGGCCATTTATCACATCAATTTGCCAGCGATGTAGATTCTGTGCCTGATGGACTTTTTGAGAAAAAAAAAGACGTAATTGTATATGCGGCATTCGATGAAATTTTGACATGTTCTAATGATGCTTATAAAAGCGCAAAAAAGTAAAGTCAGAAATTTGCTTTATGTTACAACTTTGGATCATTTTATCGACAATTTTTTTTTTTTTTTTTCGCTCTAATAGTCAATCAGTTCTTTTTTTGGGATATCCTGACGGATTTCAGATATGGGACATATCAAGTGCTGATAATATTTACGAGCTTATATCAATTAGAGACGAAGAAAATCTTGGTCAAGTCATATGCATAAAGGTCAATATTTTTTATATCCTTTGTCTTTAACATAAGTAGTTTAATCTAAGTTATATTTTAATCTATACAGCCATTACCTAATCCACGTCATATATCTAAAGATGTTATCGACAAGTATGCAGAAGTTCGTCCATTGATTGGATTAGTGTAAGTTGCTTAATTTTCAAACATTGTTGTTAAACCATTTATTTAACTTGATCATTTTATTTTCAACAGCTGTATATTGACACCACCACGAGAAAACGATATACTCCCAAAACCCAAAAGTGTGTTAAAATTCTTTTCGTTAAAAACACATAAAATCATCAAATCAATGGAATTTGAGGATGATGGTAATATAGTCAGCTTGAATTGTAATGAACGAGTCATTGTTGTGGTACGATATCCACATTTTATATACATTTATTGGTTTTTTTTTTTAATGATTACTAAATTCGACCGCTTTTCAATCAGAGTCTCGTTAATCCGGCGAAACTTCATGTTATTTCATCATCAACCTTGCTACCATTGTCTTTTTCACCGTTGCAAGACGTTGCAGCGCATCCTTCTACCCGTGTTCCAGTGTTCGCCTTAGGGCCTCGATTATTGGCTTATGCAACAACGAGTCATCCTCCAGAAAATAATGTTAAAAAGGATGGCTATGTGATGAGTGACAGTGATGAGGAAGTTAGGGCAACGGGAAAATATCGAGTTGCTAAGGATGTTGCAAAAGAAGTTGTTAATGGTGTAAAGCTTTTAGGTATGTTAAATAAATTAGTCAATATTTAATACTTTATGATATCAACTTTCTATTTGATTGATTTAAAACAGGCGATTATGGATACCAGACACTTTCTTCGTACTTTAATAACTCAAATCCACAGACTTCCTCGTCAAAACCACAACCCACTATGCCAATAAATATAAACAATCACGCCGATGCGATGGGTCATGTTTCACGTGGTTCGTTTTCAACACAGACTAGCCCATCCAACGGATATTATTACAACCCAAGGGTTGGAAGTAGTAATGGAGAAAGTAATAATGGAATAAGTTTAAATGGTATTGCAAGTAGTTTTGAGAATGACAAAGAGAAAGGTGCAGTTGGAGCGGTAGGCGACTATGCTTAATGTTCAATAATTGAGTATTTATTTAGAGACATATCGACTTAACATTTATGTAAACAGGTACTCATACGCGATCTTGGTATATCATGCGATGAACAAAAAAAGCAATCCAATGTTATTGTTTATTTTTCACCACACACCAATCCTGTTGGATATTTATCGTTCAGCCCATCAGGAACTTTTTTGCTCTCGACATCAGTTCAAGGTCATCAATTTCACGTGTTTGAGATCATTGGTAAACGTCGTCGAAGTAAGAAAACTTTAAAGCATGTGTATCAACTATCGAGGGGATATACGAATGCTATTATTGGTGATGGAGGTGTAGGTTGGAGTGATGATTCTAGGTGGTGTGCTGTAGCTAGTGGACGAGGAACTATTCACTTATTTGCGATCAATCCATATGGCGGTCCTGCTCATGTACCTTCTCACATTGCAGGATGGGTTAATAATGCAGATGAATCGGTAAATTATATATATATTTATTGATTATTGTGTTAGAATGGTTAACTTTAGGCTAACTATTTTAAATTTCGTCATAGTATAAATTAACTACACAGTCAGCCGTGATTCGTATTAAGCCACGTACACCTCTACCATCAGATTCGACCGATGTTGTTGATAGTACTTTACAAGGCACAAATATGCCCCTCAATAATTATGAATATTCCTTTCCATCTACAGAAACAAATACACTTCCTATTGATCAACAATCACATCATCCAAATCAATTGCATCGTGGAAATTTAAACGGTCTTTATACACAATATAATGTACAACATCCCGCGTTACATTATAATACATTGCCATCTGTATTTCCGAATAATTACTTAAGGAAACCCCCAGGAATTTGTGTCAAATTTTTACCTTCTGTATCTAATTGTTCTATATCAAGTTCAAATAATGTGTTATTAATTGCAAATTTACATGCAAGGAGACAAATTAAAAGACGACCACCACTAAATTTGGTGCCTGAAGGCGCTTCTAATAATGGCGAAACTGGTCGCAGGAGATCTCATTCATGGTCTCAGAATTATACTTCAAGTAACACATCTAATTATCTTGAATTTGAAACTAATGATAACAAATTTGATATTGGTTATCAAGATCTGTGGAGTTTTAATCCTTCGGGTATTTTGACACTGCACCGTGTGTGGATAGAAGGGGTAGCGTCTGATCAAACTTCTAATCAAGGAACAAAAGATGAATCAAATAATAGTAATGTAATTACAATTGGTGGTACACCACTAGTAGGAAATGTAGCTGCAGTTGCTAATGTTGGTAGAGCGTTGGTTGGTAGTGCAGCAGGCGTTGTAGGTATGGGAATGGAAATTGCAGCTAGTGCTGTTTTAAAAAAAACGAGCACTCTAGATATGATTACCAGTTACGAAGATGTTGCTGAATGGCAACTAATTCGCGACGCTAATTGGGCTGAAGTAAAAAATGTCATAGAAGCTCCAAAACAATGCAATATCGAAAATGAAATAGCTAAAAGAGAAAGCGATAAAAAAAAATGGCTTGCTAATGCAGAAATTGTAACATATACCAGTTCAAAAGTATCTTTACCTCCACCTTTGTGGGCGACACCACAATTTACATTTCAAACATTTTTGCCTGGTTATAAAGATGCTATAAATAAAGGAGAAGTACCTCGTTCAAAAAAGATAGAAATACGAAGGGATATTGTAGAAAGGATAGAAACCAGTGATGAATCAGATGGAGTTAATGGATTTATGAATAATGAAGAAGGCATTCATAGAAATGATAGTAGAACAGGTAAAGCGGTTCTCATTCCAGCCGGTAAAGCTATTGGTAAAGGTACTGGTGACATTTCAGCAAATCTATCAACAGCAATGTGTACATCACTTGATTTTACATCGTCTAGTCCGACACTTTTAGCTGTTAACAATAAGTCCAGAGATCGTATGTCAAATGGCAGCTCTAATGGAAACACATGTCTAAAGATTGCAGATGATACATGTAAGTTATTTATATTATATATATTATATGTTTATTACATTGGTTAGATTTATTTAAAATATTTATAATATTTATGATATTTTATTTAATCAACATTTAGCCACAACACCTTTATCCTTTGAGGATGCATATCATATCCATATTGCAAATAATATTCCTACTATGACATCAGCAAAATTCACAGCGTTGAATAATAGAAGTAATATTTTATCAGAATTTTCAAATAATACGACATTTGTTCGGCAGTCACATTCATCTGATACACAATCGACATCATCATCATCCATGGCATCTGAAACCACATACAGTGATGATTCAGAAAAATTAGATTATAGAGAGAATAGTATAGGCGAAAAAGAAGGAAACTTTTTCTTTTCGCCTGATGGGGATAATGAAGTAGAATTACCTACTGATAGCATTATATTACCTCGTAATAGGTAAACATTATTGTAACAGTAACAAGATGGAGTAATTTAAGACAATAAGACAATTGATTTTGATAAGTTTTGAATTTAGTATCTAGTATATATATCTACTATATATATATATACTTTTTCTGTATAGTTTTATTTAATTTTTTTAACATATGAAATTTAAATGATGCACCGGCTGACTTTTAAATCATAAAAAGGTCTACAGGTTTTTTTCGTTTTTGTCTAGAAGAATATAAAAATCACATTTAGAAGCTTTTATAATAAAATTTTTCGAAACAGACCTGGCCGGATTAAAGAAAAAAATAATTTGCATAGGCCTAATTAGATACTGTTCTGTAAAATAATTTATTTCCTTAATATTAAACTATAAGTTTTGTTCTTTTTTTGTAAATATACTATCTCCTAGTTAGCATACTTATTAATTAGGATCTATTTTTTAGATTTTTTTTTTTTTGTATAACTTGATAATTTATGATATATAATATAAAATTTTGATCTCAAATAAATACAATATAAAAAATTATGTTTAAAAGTATGTACTGTTAATAAGAATATTGAGTAAATTTAAAACTATAATTAAAACTGATTTACAATATAAAACTTTTTCGGATTAATATTTTTTTTGAAAACATCAGCCTAACAACTATTATTTTACATATTACGATAAATGTCTGGTTAAAAAAAATAAAATAAAAATACATACAAGAAAACGACAATTTTACTAATTAATTTTATAATAGTGCTGATCTAAACAATATATCTTTTTTATAGTCTTCAAAAGAAAAATAAATATTTCATTTAAATTGACATTAAGAAACCAATGAGAAACATTACGGCGAATTATTTTATTAATAATGCGAATCACGTGATCACGTGATTAGGGTGCACCGGTGCATCAAATTTTAAAACCCTTAATGGAATACCCCAAAATCTGAGAAATTTTGACATCTAATGAAATACAGATTTTTAAATGTGCATCAGATAGTGGGGAAGATGGGTTAGAAGAATTATCGGTATAGACCAGGGATCCAAAATTTTTTTCGCGGAGTTTAGAATTGGGTTTGGAGACCGAATTTTAGTGTAATTTCGTAAATTTGCCGTGATGAATCAATGCTATTAGTATAATTCAAGTTCGAGCTATATATAAAAAGAACATAAAGAATTAAGAATAATATAAAATATATAATTTAGTAAAACTAAAATGAAAAGATTTAATAATTAGCAAAGAAGGATACAAATAGAAAGGACGATTTTCTTGGATCACGAAAATTTAGACCATTTAAATTGTATAAGGTCAGATTTTCATTATCTAAAAATGCGCACATTTCTTCGATTGTCTGTATTAAAAAAATGTTAATATATAAACAAACTTTTATTATAATCACATTAACATTCCCAAATAGTCTTACTTTATCATAATGTGAACGCATACATAGAGTTGAAAAGTATATTGTCACACATGCTAAACAATTATCAAACCAATTATATTTTGGATTAAAAGCTTTTGCCATAAGTTCATTTAACCCATTGATTGTTTGTTGAAATTGTCTTGGATTTATCTGTAAAATTAAAAGCAAAAAAAAAAGGAAAAAAAAATAAACCAAACTTAAATTCAATCAATAGATAATATTTAAATAATGAATTAATAAAATTACCCGTCCATCAATTTCTAATGGAAACGCAGATTGAAATTGACACATCTCTCCCCGAGTATAATCTCTTTCTATTCGAACAATTTGCTTTGGCGTTACTAAATCGGAAGTGTCCTTATTAGAAGATAAAATGTCTAAAGACATGGGCTTTCCAGAAGGACCAGAGATCTCATAGGAAGACATTCATATGATTGGTTAATTGTTGTAGATCTACCCGTGATTACCCGTGATAATTAACCAATCAAATTACATAATTTTTAAAAACTTTAATACTATTAGAAAACGAAAAAAAACTTGAAATAAAGAAGCTTATAAACTAATAAATACCCACAAAAGAATTTATTGCAAATGTTTAGAGAATAGATAGATACGCATAAAATGGGATAAATGTGATATTTATTACTAATAAACCCGAATTCATTAAAGAATCTACAAGATATAAGCCAACACTAATTTACGGTTAACAAACCCAAACACACTACAAGAACCAACTAACTTAAATATTAAACCCAGATCTTCTGCTACTATAGAGCTTGTACCTATTCAAAATTAAACGGTTACAATAAAATGTTTATTTAGATCTAATATAGTAAAGCAGTCTTAGACGGAAAACATTTCTAGTTACCTTCACTTACAGTATAATTTCTCACGGTCCAATAAACGGTCATATATTTTTCCTTCTAAGTAAAGTCGGTGAGGAAGATGATTCTTTTTTGATTCTTTTGAACAGTGAATACCAACGTTCGTTCGTTTTAAAACTATGAATTGATTTTTTGTTAGTGAAACGTTACGTTCTAAAAATAAGTTACCCGGGTAATTGATTTGCATCAGCCAATCAGGAGAAAGTCCTCCAATAATTCTAATTCTGGTTAGATCTCATGATTCCTGGGGTCAATTTAACATCTTAATTTTTTAAAAATAAAATTAAAAGCCGGGTGTTTTCATATGAAGAGTCCTATTTTTATATATATAGCAAGATTTTATAATATCTATAAAAATAAATTGTAACAGGTAATGGCAGTAATAGAATAAATTATCTTTGCTTTTCTGTGCCTATAGAAGCTACCGTAGGACCTTTGAGATAGAAACACCCATGCAATGATGTAGAGAAAATAGTCGTAGTTAAAAGAATTAAGAGAACAAGTAATACTCTTATATGGCGCCAAGGGAAAGCCTGTCAACGGGCTTCAATTATATTTTGTGCCGGACAAAATCTAACAAATCAGATAGATTGACCTGGTAAGTCGGCACTCGGCTAATTAGCAAACGTTTTCTTTTTTACGTCATTGTTGATATACCGGCAATATGTTTATACGTATACTATTTAGTGTGAAAAAAAAATAATAATAAATAAACAAAGCTTTCTTTTTGAACACTAAAAAATTTTTATTAACTCATATATGGAAAGTGATAATCAGCTGAGGTTCTTTAATTTCACTATTCTCTATAAGTAAGAAGTAGACTCGGTTAATAAAGTGGTTTCAAATTATATATAGTTAATAATTGGCAGACTATGTCTAATTTATTAATATATCAATCTAGTGTGCTGTAGTGTTTTAATGATTTTTGCATGTGAATATAAATATTTTGACAATTTTTTTGATCGGAAATTGGTGTTTGGTAAATCTATAAAAAATATTAAAAGAAAAGCAAATGTAGAATTTTTTAATAATTCGTACCAGATCAAACAAGAATTAAAGAACCGGCTTAACTGTTAATTCTCTTGACAATCCTAAATTACATTAATTGTTATAATCAAGTAATTTACGAATCTGGTTATGTCTTGATTATCCGAGTAGGAAAAAAAAAAAAGAAGTCGATCTTTGTTTACAGTTTCACGAATTGCATTATCGGCGGTGCAAATCGAGTACGTAACACAGTATTCAATTAATTATTTTATTTTTGGTTTTCAAAGATGAAACCTTTCACTAGATATTCGGGTTGGTTTTTTTTTCTAACATTAGTCCCATAAATTATTTTATAGATTCTGATTATGCACTGATAAAACTTGATCAGTTCTTTTTTTCCTTTAATGGACAACATAGTTGGCCAGAAGGAAATGCTGCTGAAGATGAGGTAGTTTCACATAAAAACGAACCGGAGAGTGTAGAAGAAGTGAAAGAAGCTGTTGTTAAGGGGGGTTGACTCGACTTCAAATCCATATAAACCAAATAAAATCTTATATAAGAATGAAAACCACATAGCTTCAGATTTACAAACTTTCAATAACTTAGATACTACTGATATTGATTAAATCCCATCCCTAGTGATGTTATGCGGCTTGTCTAATGTCTGAATCGGTTTAAACTAATTATAAATCATAATAGACCGGATCAGGACTACCGTATACCATTGCTTACAGTAAGACCCGGGTATTACTCACCATCACTACCAACCAGTTTCTTGAATAAGACCCGGGGTATAACTATAATGATTTACTACATTTAATATGATATATCCCCCAGATATAGTACCCGGTTCTTCACATAGTACCCATGGGTACTATTCAATTTTTAAAATAGGATTCTTGAATAAGACCCGGGTACTGTAAGCAGTGGCATACGGTACGTAGGCCAGACCAGATTGTTAACATTTCGAGAGTTTACTAGTGATGCGGTAGAGTCGTCCCAATGAAGCTCCAATGGATTTTTTGATATGAAAATTTACGGCGTGGCGTAACTTTTTATTAAGCTACAAATAAGCCGTAACTCAAAAATTCATTGGGACTTCATTTGGACGATTCTACCGCATCACTAGAGTTAACTGTAAATTAATTTAAAAAAATTTTATGTATACTAAAAATCTAATATCATTTACCTTTGAGTACTAAATAAAAATGTTCGATTGCGGAATCTTAAAAATTCTATTAATTAAGGCCATATAAAATTAAATAATTGCTTCTCATAACATAGAATTCTAAAAGTGACCCGCCCGTTCGGCTTTTAATTTTTAAATCGTAAAAATTTTATAAGTTTTTCTTCGTATAAAATATTGAAAATTTAAGCTGGTTATGAGAAACAATTAACTTTATATGGCCTAATCGAAATCTTCAAAAATTATTATAACCATCAAATTCAAAAAAAGTTTATATTTTTTAAACGGATGTCTTTTTAAATGTGATTTTTTTATTTAAATATATATACATACTATATATATATATATATATATAGGGTTTTATTTTTTATTGCACCCTACGTACTATATCTTAAAATTTCACTAGGGTAACCCTGTCGTGTAACTAACAAAAAATGATCCTCTCGCGATTTTACCCAAACCTAACATTAACCCACTAATTATTATAGGGGTGCAATAAATTTTATTCCACGTTTTCTATATGATTGCATGGCGGGGGTTTACAACTTATAATCACTACTTTAATCAGTAAAAAAATCGAGTTTCTAGCAATGTTTGTTATTTCCCCGGCA